CTTTGAGCCAGCAGAGCGCGAAGAGCCTAAAGTACTACTATCAGGGGGAGAGAAAGGTCGCTATCACTGTGGCGCTCATCACAGGCTTATTCCTCATTGCTTGGGTGCCGTTTTTTACGGTGTCGGTTACAGCAGCATACTGCTACCATTGCCTTCCTTCGTCACTAGACTCCCTGAGAGGTCTCGTTATCATCGTAAAGAGCGTGCATTACCTAAACAGCGCAGTCAACCCACTTGTGTATGCGCGTCGTGACCGTGAAATGAAAAGGACTTTTATACAACTGTTGGGGTTGAAGCGTGTTTTCTGTCGTTTTAACAGAGAGGAGGAAACTCCGTGGGGATTTCCACTCAGGCCTAGATACTGATATCAGTGTGTTATTATTTGCAACAATTGAAACCTTGAAGGTGAATTAATCAACATGACACGAGCATGACACGTCCCACGCTCGTGTCATATTGATTAATTCACCTTCACATTTCATTACCGAGCTTAAAATTCACCATCTTTATTAATTTATCACTACTCACGATGACTTCGATAGCGTTGATNCGTGTCACGTTGATTAATTCACCTTCACATTTCATTACCGAGCTTAAAATTCACCATCTTTGTTAATTTATCAATTGAAACCTTAGCCCTTAAAGGTGATTTCCAGTCCGTACCGCGCAGTCTAATCTCACTCGATAGAATGCGAATCGATGTGAATCGATGTTATTCGTTACGATCCACATACCTTATCTTTAAGGCCTTTCAAATTCTTTTTCCAACAGCTTCATTGATTTTTACAGCTTCGAAGTTGTCTCATCAAGTGATATGAGAAAGAACGAAGCATAAAGATTCGACCGCTTTGAATCCATAAATTAATGGCGGTTGTTTTGAAACTTTACTTCATGTAAGTAGGTGCGAAATGTTTACATTTTGTGATGTCTTTCATGAAACAAAACAAAAAATGCAAACAAACTCTCGAGAGCGTGCAGTACGGACTAGAAATCATCAATAATAGAAGAAATGAGTAACGCTTAGTAACCTCGCTGAAAGACCATCAGGCGAAACAGTGCGGCACCTTATGCTACCGTGACGAAGTTAATAATAAATAAAATAAGAGAAAACGTGACATTTCAAATTGAGCTTTGAAGATCAGTTTGTTTTTAATGCAATAATTTCCGTGGCATAAAGCGACCAGCTCAACCTTTACACTTCTCATGAATGGGGTACCAATATATTTTGTTCCGAAGTTTGCCCTAAGACTATTATGGTTGGCGTTTATACGTCTTGGTGGAGAGACACTAACAGCCGCAGGTTCACAACTAACATGAGGTAATTTAATCCTGCAACAGGCAGGTGTTTTTTTTTCCTTTCCTTATCCGGTTAAACATAGGCAAGCCCCGTAATGGACCCATTTTTTTTTTCAATCTAAATTGGGATGATGTTTGTGGCCGAGTGCAATCCTTAAAATATGAAACCAAATTGTGAAAAGAAGTTTCGGAAACGACAAACAACCAAATAAGTGACCCTAGGAAAGCTGTGATAAGATTTCACCCAGGCATGAGAAAATCCCTAAAATAGCCACCTTCCAAAAAATAACTACTCTTGGAAACATTCCCAACTAGAACGTAACTTGACTTTTCTTTATGTGCCTGAACGAGAGCCAAGAAAATGCGCCAAAGAATATTCTGTCCTGCATTTTTGGATAACACTAGCTCTCTCAGACTTACTAAGGACAGTGATGTTGTTCAGATGCCTGATCTTTTTTTTTTTTTTAGATACCTCAATTTCAGATACAACAATTGTATTTTTATTACATATGATCTTTCAATAATATACATTATAAACAATATTGCTTTGCTTAACTACAAAATGATATTCTACAACTGTAAAACTAATAAAATAGCTCACTATAAATAAAATAAAAATTAACAGCATGTAGGTGAAAACCGTATAAGCTAAAAATCTATTTGTTTATTTATTTATTTATTTATTTTGAGGTAACAAGTATTTCCTGAGGGATCCATGAAGGATCGATATATGTGGAGCAAGCAATTCGACTCCACTTTGTTTGATTATTTGCTGCTATGGAAAGGTTTTTATAAGACCTGGGGACCTTTTGCTTGCTACTGGCTTGGTCGAGAACTTGCTTCGCATTCAAGTTTTAGTATCTTTGTATAGAAGAATTCAGTTTTAGTTCCTTATCTCACTGTTCATTATTTTAAATTGTACTTGTTTTGTTTTATCACACAACGGTTTGAATATCTTTACATCTGCTGAAGAATACACGGTCCAATTCAGGTAGGCCTCAGAGGAAATCCGCAAGGAGCATGCTCCTCAGCCCTAATATGGAAGATACCACGATCTAGTCTTAGCAGCGTTATAAATGTCCTTCTTATTTCACGGTTACGACGCGCATACACAAGTGGGTTGACTGCGCTGTTTAGGTAATGTACACTCTTTACGATGACAACGAGACCTATGAGGGTGTCTGGTGACGAAGGAAGGCAATGGTAGCAGTATGCTGCTGTAACCGACACCGTAAAAAACGGCACCCAAGCAAGGAGGAATAAGCCTGTTATGAGCGCTACAGTGATAGCGACCTTTCTCTCCCCCTGATAGTACTCCTTTAGGCTCTTCGCGCTCTGCTGGCTCAAAGTGCGGGGTGGATTGCGTTGGAGCAGAGACCGCGCCACTGAAAAGACGCCGATGTACATGAACGCTGTTATGGCGACGGGGACAGTGAACCCGCCGATGAACAAGACCGTGGAGTAGACTCGGCTGGTCAAGGGGGTGGTAGTGGTGGTGATACAAGACAGTGAAGCTAGAACACCAGCGAGAATCCAGGCAGAAGCTATCATGGCTCGTTGAAAGAACGAAGTCAAGCGTTTGTAATAAAACGGCCGTGAAACAGCAATGTAACGTTCGATACTGATGGCGGTCAAGTGGTAAATGGATGCGAGGGCTGTGAAGACGTCAAAAATTCTGAAAACTGTTTTAAAAGTGTGCGACTCGTTGAACTCTGTTAAGATAATGTAGATCCACATGGGCAGAGAGATACCGCCAACCAGGAAATCCGAGATGGCCAAACTGACGAGAAAGGCGTTAGTTCGAGTTCTCAGTCTGTAGTTGATCTTGTAAGATAAAACGACCAGAGAATTGCCAAATAATATGACAACAGCAAGAAGGATGGAAGGTGCTAAGATGGCGTACAGTGGAATAAAATTGGAATGCAATTCGTCAGTCGAGTTTTTCAGCCTGCTTGTGTTGCTCGGTAAAGCCGCCATCATCTTAGCATACCTTGAAAAGAAAAACGTAGAAAAAATACAGTGCTTCCGAAATTATACACGATTGTTTTCATTTTACAGTTACTTACGGACGAGTTTTGGGGTTAGAGTAATTTCTCGGACAGAATCCTGAAACGAAGTAAATAACTGCTCAGCAACTTAAAACGTTTCAGACGTCTTGCTCACTGTCATTTAGTTTTATCATTTACTTTCTGTTATAAAGCGCACTGTACTTGAACCAATCAAGTTTACATTACACAAGCGTCATCGTCTAAGTTGATGGCGTCAAAGCTAGATTGCGGCTTTGACGATTACAAATAATGAACTTTGTACGACTTTACGTACATCAAAGGTGGTGGGTGAGAGTCCTGCAGGGGGGGTTACTCTCTCATATGGGCTCTGTAGGTATATGCGGTCCCAAAGGGATGTTTTCGTAGCCTTATTGGTCAGAAATGGGTTATAGATTTTGTCCGTTTTCGTCTCAAATAGGGTATGGTTTTGGCACTCTAGTCTTGAATTGGGTATGTTTTCCCAGAAGAAGCTATCTTTTCATCATTATCGATGAAGCCATCGACAAAAGTCCTTCACAGTGTCTTTAAAATTGGTCTGAAATAGGGAGCTAATTATAAGACAGGTCTGAAGCAGAGTATTGGTTTAAGGGTCAGGTCTTAAATAGGGTATCGAATTTTCGTTCAGGTCATGTAAAGGTAGGGAAAATCGCAGATTTTGATCTTAAATATGGTAACGCTTTTGGGAAGCGGGCCGCACACCCCTACCCAATTTTTCCCGGAGTAGCCCCCCCCCCCC